TAAGTGAGAGGGTTAAAATTTAAGTGCAAGTGCAAAGTGCATGTTAGCTGTAAAAACGCCCACTTTATCAATTCATTTATAAATCTATTGTTTCAATTTCACCAAACTTAAAAAAAAAAAACGTAACCTAACTGGGAAATAATATACAAATGCGAGGACCTATACTGCAAAAAAAAACGCATTATTTTTAAATGGCGCCGACAAATTGTAACTGCCCCAAGCTCAGGCCGATGTAGGGTGAAAACAACCGAAATAAAATACACTACGGCGGAAATGAAATACCCCACGGCGGAGCTCGGTTGCAGTTTGTAAATACGCGCACGGGAATGCAGGCATTGCTACAATTAGAGAGCAAGTATTTCAATGGGGAATGATTATTAGATATAGTGCAACCAATGAGAGTAGCATAAGAAGTTTCATAGACTACTGTATTACGCATATACTTATCGCATATACATATTATGTTCATATTCACATTCTACAGACTACATATGACTGCTGCTGCTAAAAAATTGCTGTGCGGCCGCTCGTCTGTTTCAATGCTGACTATGTCAGTGTCTGACACTCTGGTGTCAGTGGTGCAGCGGGGAGCTGGCGGCAGCTCTGTCCGACTGCAGTCCGCTGACACAGCTCTGTCCGACAGGGCCGGTGGTGACGAAGCCGAGGTGGCCAGTACGGTCCCAGTGGGGCGGTCTGTCAGTGTCGCTCCAGGGGGTGGCTGCCGACACCATCAGTCACCTGGCTGACCTGCGACGGACGGTCAGACTACTGGAGATATACGGTGAGCAGCGGCAGCACGGACAGGCCGCTGATATACGAGCTCAGTGAGTGGCCGTCGCCCGTCACCGAGTAACGGTGTGGTGTTATGACTGGACGTGTAAATAGTGATATACGTGTAGAGACAGGTAGGTAAGTACAACGTAAAACACTGTCACATTATGATTTTTTTTCGAAATAGTGGAGTTGGTGCACTTGATATATTGAGGCAGACATATTTATGAAACCCACGATATATATGAACTCTCATACCACATACACATAATGATGCTGTTCCCGTTTGCGACAAAACTGATTTCATTAACTGAACGCATTGCATATTTTAGTCGTAAAAGCAGAAGTGTGCCATTATATTGAAATCCGATGGAAGTCTGCAAATTGCGAGGTGATCGTATTTTCCCATTTTATCATGCATTAGCATTGGCGTCTGCTACATCACCCCAGTTGGCTGATCCTGTCTGTATGTGTGTCTGTGTGCTTTCCAGACTGTCGTGATCTCACGGCCGGCAGCCTGGAGCCCCTCACCAGGTGCCCTGAGCTGCGATACCTATCAGTCACCGCCGCCGACCTCCCGCTACTGAGGGGGCAGCTGCCGGAGGGCCTCAAGCGCCTCAATATCAGAGGTGAGATACCACGGATCACACATGTAATGCCGGTATATGCAAATGAACAGGGGAGACGGCAAATGGACGAACCAATCAGCCTCAACTAGCAAGTTTCATCGTTAATCGTGTATATTACTTGTCTCGTATTGTGGTGAGAGGGGGGAGGGGTTCAATGCATGCCCTTCGATAGTGTTCATGCTTGTGCACAAGCATGAACATATGCCACAATTGCATATGCCACATATGCCACAATTGTGGCATATGCGTGGAATACCTATTAGTATAACGTCACGGGGTGATTTAAAAGTTGAGGTACTAGCGATAGTTGCATTGTCACAAGCAGCAAATTTCCGAACAAGCGTATTGAGTATTAATCGACGACTGACACTGACTGACTACATAGATAGCTCGCTGACGACGACGAGTCTGAGCAGACTGACGAGACTGACTGGCCGCGGCCCTGGCGCGGCGGTTATACAGAGTATAGGTGGCGCCACGATCGAAGGCGGCCAGCACGGGAATGCAGGCATTGTTACAATTAGTGAGCAGTTATTTCCAATGAGGAATGATTACAGACATAGTGCAACCAATGAGAGTAGTATAAGAAGTTTCATAGACTATTGTACTACGCATATACTTATCGCAGATAGGTACTTATTATGTTCATAATATTCACATTCTACATACCTCCTATGACTGCTGAGTGCTGGTGCTAAAAATTGCTGTGCGGCCGCTCGTCTGTTTAAATGCTGACTGTGTCAGTGTCTGACACTCTGGTGTCAGTGGTGCAGCGGGGAGCTGGCGGCAGCTCTGTCCGACTGCAGTCAGCTGACACGGCTCTGTCCGACAGGGCCGGAGGTGACGAAGCCGAGGTGGCCGGGAGGGTACAGGGATGATGATCTGTCAGTGTCGCTCCAGGGGGTGGCTGCCGACAGCATCAGTCACCTGGCTGACCTGGGACGGACGGTCACAGTACTGGAGATATACGGTGAGCAGCGGCAGCACGGACAGGCCGCTTATATACGGGCTCAGCAAATGGCGGACACCGAGTAACAGTGTGCCATTGTCAGACCTTATGGAGACAGGTGTGATACATAGCCAATGTGCAGTGTGCTTTGTGAAATAATGAAGCTAATTGAGCTCCAAAATGGCGGAGGACTGTTCACTCAGTGACATATTCCCTCATAGTTAGTTGAACTACATATTGCGATTGTAATGCAATGTTCAATGCACTTCAATGCATTGGCTGAACTGATCGCATATCCATAACATGGATATGCGATTAGATAACAAGAACATTCATGTTATCATGTTCATTCATTCATGTTATCACATTCATTAATCATTCATGTTTAACCCTCGCCGGCCGAGGGGGGGGGGCGGGTGCCGCCCCCCCCCCCCCATAGGGTTTTTTCGCGATAGCTCCGAACACGCTGGCGATAGAGAGCTGAAACTTGGCATACCTGACCTTTGATCCAAGCCGCATCTTTTGACACCAACCGCATTTTTGGGTCAGGTCAGGTCACTGACCTATGACGTCATAAGTGAACCTCTGCACGGTCTTCAGATGTCGCAACTTCGCAACGCCCTCACTGCCAGAGGAGATGTCACAGGGAAATGAAACTTACAGGATCTAGTATCGATTATGAGTCTCACAACTTGTATATCTCGGATTTTTCCTAAAGGTCATATGAGGTCAGGTCATTTTCGTGACCTCACCATTATAAGTCAATGGGGAAAAATGAAAACTGCTATTCTGGCGCCGGGAACGATCTCCAACTATCTCAAGCACACAGAATCGTGATTCGATGCACTCCTTGCAAGGTTAGATGCGTCACTTTTGCAATGTTGACCTTGCGTGACGTCATTTATGACGTCATCAAGGTCATATTAGTTTTTCGTCAATAACTCTTGATCAAATTGAGCTAGCGAGTCGAGAAAGCCAACAATGGACTCAGGAAGACCTGCCGAATCGAATGATATGCGATATGACCTCTTTCGACCAACTTCGTGACCTTAGGGTGCTGACCTGACCTTGACCTGAGGTCAACACCCCAAGTTGACCTGACCCGAACAAAAAGTATATCGTTCGACGCGCCTGAGCGAGGCGAACACGATGCTGCCAAAATCGCGGCTCTGCGGCCATTTTTTTGCGAAGTTATTCACCAAAAACTGAACCGTACCTTGGGGCACTTGACCTGACCTCAGAGGTCACCGGTTGACCTAGGACCTTAAAATCGGGTACCAATCTCTGCGTCTCGTAACGGCGCACACGCTCGTTTTTTCCGCGACGCGCTAGCTCCACCAGGGGCGAAACGGCGAGGGGGGGTCTTACCCGTCCCCCCCCCCTCGGCCGGCGCGTATGTAGAAAACCAATAGGTCCGGCGAGGGTCCGGCAATAGGTCCCCCCCCCTACACATGCGAGGGACCCTCGCATGTGTAGGGGGGGGGGGGTCGGATGGACCCCCCCCCCATGGTTTTTCGCGAATAACTCGCGTAAAAAGCGGCCGATCGCGACGAAACTTTCAGTACCCTCGCATTTATCAATTTTACACCTACCCTGAAAATTTCATGACCCTGACCCAAATGACCTTTGACCTGTGACCTCTTTTCCGAGACCATGTTTGGCTGGAATCGCGATTTCGCGTATGTCGGCTCGCACTAGCCGCGTGTTTGCAAGCTTTTCGTGGTTTCAAACGCTCAAACATGTGATTTGATGTTACTCCCGTGTGTGTCAAGGTCACCTGAAGGTCAGGTCAGGTCATTGACCTTTGGTGACCTCGGGTGACCTCGGGTCACTTTTTCGAGTTTTACATGTTTCTAGGCTAGTTTTTGGAGCTGAATTCGAATTTAGCAACCATTTGAACATTTACGAAGTAGTTTTGGTAACTTCGTAACATGTTACGAAGCTGTCAGAGGCGGTTGACACGTACTACGAATACCCGTCACGACGCCTACTGGTTGACCTGACCTGACCTGACCCGACCTGGTCTAAATGCTTCAAGACATCATCTGTGATCAAAACTAACACGATATTCGTGATCAGCACCCCGAAAAACCCCTTAGCAGCCACACTTTACGACTTTCTAACAGGTCCCGATTTTCCCGACTTTGGGTCATTGACCTGACCTGGAAGGTCAACCAATGACCTAGGACCTTAAAATTGGGTATCATCGGCTTCCTCTCGTCACGGGCAACACGCTCGTTTTTTCCGCGAAGCTCTAGCTCGATCAGGGGCCAAACGGCAAGGGGGGGTCCAACCGACCCCCCCCCCCTACACATTAGAAGCTGGCAAACGCCGCACACATGCGAGGGTTAAATGGCATATCATATAGTACCACTGTTATACCATGGCTTACGGTGTCCATAAAAACATGCGAATTCATAGCTGTTTCGTTTTTTCCATATATCGACATGTATCCCAGTCGGCTGATCCTGTCTGTATGTGTGTCTGTGTATTCCAGACTGTCCTGATCTCACGGCCGGCAGCCTGGAGCCCCTCACCAGGTGCCCTGAGCTGCGGGGTCTCACCCTGTCCGGCGGCGTCCCTGACACCGTGAGCCTGGAGCCCCTCACCAGGTGCCCTGGGCTGCGGTATCTCACCCTGTCCGGCGGCGTCCCTGACACCGTGAGCCTGGAGCCCCTCACCAGGTGCCGTGGGCTGCAGTATCTCGCCCTGCCCGGCGGTGTCCCTGACGCCGTGCTGGACAGTCTCAGCGGCTGCCCCGGGCTGAAGTACCTTACACTGGGGGACCGCCAGCGGCCGGCAGAGACGGCCTTCACAGCAGCAGGGGTCAGCAGGTCAGTCAGCAGACACTGGTGAGGGGTGTCCTGTCAGACACTGACACTGACACACTGACACTGACACGCTGACACACTGACACACTGAAGCTGACACACTGACACCGACACTGACACACTGACACTGACACACTGACACTGACACACTGACACTGACACACTGACACTGACACACTGACACTGACACACTGACACTGACACACTGACACTGACACACTGACACTGAAATACTGACACTGACACTGAAGTGACACATTGACACTGACACACTGACATTGACTCGTACGTCCGGTCGGCTGGTGCCGCTGTGTTTGTGTGTGACGGCTCTGCTGCTCTGCTCTGTTACAGACTGGTGAAGTCGTGTCGGGAGCTGTGCCATCTGTCCCTTCACTGCACGGCAGACACCGGCCGGGCCGTGCTGACCGCCCTGAAGGAGGCGGACCTGGGCCGGCGAAGTTATGTCTGGCCCCGTACCATCGATCTCATTGTCCCCGGTAGGTGAGAGGGCGCCGCGCGCCGCGCCTCTGACCAGTCAGTCCCCCACAACAGACGCTGCACGGCGCCACCGGCCTCTCAGACACACACACTCGACCACCGCCGCAGGCCACGTCACAGACGGTGACGTGACGCGTCACGGCCACCACGGCCGACGGTGACGTCACGTCAGCCGTCTGTCCTGTGTGTGACGTCACTGGCCGGCGGTGTGTGGACATGGCTGTACCGCTGTCTGTGTGTCTGTCTGTGTGTGACGTGTCCACCTCAGACGTGTCTCTGCTCTGTCCACAGAGGAGCTGTACCGTCAGCTGAAGAGCCAGGAAGGCGATAGGGTCAAAGTGTTGAAGTGGAGGATTGATGCGCTGCACTACCGACCGTGCACTGTGCAGTGATGAGCTGACTGCAGAGAGGCCGAGCCAGTCGGCCGGGGCCGCCAGCTGACTGCTGCCGTGTGTGCTGCACCAGCCGGCACTGAGAGCGGCGCCGGTCAGCCGGCACACGGCCCCTGTGTTCGCTCTAGTGTAGTCATGTAGTTGTAGTAGTAGTAGTGTAGATGTAGTAGTAGCACACGGATGTGATGTAGTGGGTAATTACCGGGCGGGTATTGTGGGTAATTGGACGGTAGATGTGATGTAGTGGGTAATTACCGGGTGGGTATTGTGGGTAATTGGACAGTGAAAAGTGATGTGCTGGAGAGACTACCGATCATGTCATTACGCTATTCTGTATGTAGAACACACGTCTCTGACCGTCCGACTCGGTTCACCGCGCCTGGTCCCGGCGGCACGGCCGGCCTCGGTCACGTGACCGTCCCCCGGTGGAGTCGGACGGCTCGGTCACGTGACCGCTCCCCCCGGGTCTGGCTGCACCTCGGCTCGGCGGTGCTGAGCGCCGTGCTGAGCGTGTTGTGACACGTCCACACGGACAGCTCTACTCGACTACTGGCTAGCTGCCGTCCGAGCTGGCAGTAGACACGCGGTGCCAGTTCAGACGGCGGCCGGCCGCGCCGCGCCCGCCCGCTCCGGTCCCGGCCGGCGGCCGTCACCCGGCGCGGGGCGGTGACCGGTCCGTCAGCTGACCATTGGTCAGTCAGCTGACCATTGGTCCGTCAGCTGATTGGTCCGTCAGCTGATTGGTCCGTCAGCTGGTTGGTCCGTCAGCTGATTGGTCCGTCTGCTGATTGGTCCGTCAGCTGATTGGTCCGTCAGCTGATTGGTCCGTCAGCTGATTGGTCAGTCAGCTGATTGGTCCGTCAGCTGATTGGTCCGTCAGCTGATTGGTCCGTCAGCTGATTGGTCAGTCAGCTGATTGGTCCGTCAGCTGATTGGTCCGTCAGCTGATTGGTCCGTCAGCTGATTGGTCCGTCAGCTGATTGGTCCGTCAGCTGATTGGTCCGTCAGCTGACCATTGGTCAGTCAGCTGATTGGTCAGTCAGCTGATCGGTCCGTCAGCTGATTGGTCAGTCAGCTGATTGGTCCGTCAGCTGATTGGTCCGTCAGCTGATTGGTCCGTCAGCTGATTGGTCCGTCAGCTGATTGGTCCGTCAGCTGATTGGTCCGTCAGCTGATTGGTCTGTCAGCTGACCATTGGTCCGTCAGCTGATTTGTCCGTCAGCTGATTGGTCCGTCAGCTGATTGGTCTGTCAGCTGATTGGTCCGTCAGCTGATTGGTCCGTCAGCTGATTGGTCCGTCAGCTGTCCCGCTCTCCACCGGCGGAGCGCGGCGCCCGCCGAGACTCGAGACGTCAAACACAATGTCTACTACATACACGAGAGGAGACGCTTCAGCTGTACCATCCGTAGCCTAGGGCAATTAGTTACCGGGCGAGTATTGTGGGTAATTGGATGAAGTGATGCGATGTAGTGGGTAATTACCGGTCGGGTGTTGTGGATAATGTAACCCTGGGTATGAACTATGATATAGCCGGCTATTCAACGGTCGGATATAGTCAGCTGGATGCTACTGAATTGTGTAGAGCTCTGACGGCACCGGTCATAACGAGTGTCCTCGCGTCTGTCCGACTCGGTTCACGGAAGCACGCCGTCACGGCCCGGGAGCGCGCCGCCATGTTTTGTGTCCTCTGCTTCGTACAGGGGGGTAATTGGGACTACCGACCGACTGGGAGTCGGAGTCGGAGTCCGTGTCGATCAAGCTGCCTTGACTCCGACTCCGGAACGGCTTTTTAGATTTTAGTTATCACTTGGCCATGCTACTGATAATCGGCTGCGCTTTGACTAATACATTTTACACATGTCCAGTCTTTGTCCTGGAAAACAGCTACCTTCGGAGCTTACCTCATCATTTGTGCTAATGTCCTGGTGACCTGAGTACAGTTTGGCTCCACCAGAGGGGGGGGGGGTGTTTCTGCGCCGCTGTGCCGCCGCTGCTGTGACCTGCTGAGCTGCGGTCCCGGCTCCAGAGCACACCGTCGGCCGTCGAGGCCCGGTCCTTCTGTTCCGTGCACACCATCAACAGGTGTCGTATATATCTATAATACAGGCCCAGCGTGGCAGTTCACCGTTAACCGGCGGCCACACACTGACTGGCTGGATGGCCACTCGCCGTATTTCACCGCCTTCCCCGGTGCCGGGCGGACGATAACCTGTATATACGACACACCGTTTTACCCGCCGTCATTTGGGATCAGGTCTGAGAGCCGCCTCTGGTAAATCACCTGCCGTCTCGAGCCATTTGGGTGGATCTAGGATCCCATCGGATCCAAGATCACGATATACTACGTGGGATCAGACCACACATATACCTTTTCTGAGATTCCTGCACATTGCACATGTGTTTTGGCCACTCTGGCTGGTGTCATGTAAGTAGTTCCCTGTTGCAGTTCTGTGTGTGTTGTATGGCCTGCGCCCGTACCCCTCACAACTGCAGTGTTCGGTGCTGGTCAGTGACCCACAGCTGACACCGGGCCTCCCACCGCCGGCGGATGAGCCGGCCGGCCCGTGCCCGGCCCTCCATTCCAGCCGCCACGGCCGGCCAGCGGCACTTGTCCAACACCGGCTGGACACACTACCGACTCGGAGACACACACGGCTCGGGAGACACCCGTGGCGTGTTCTGGGGCCATACACGGCACTGCAGTGGCCACTGGGCAGAGGTGCGGACCGGACGTACCGCCCGCCCCTCCGACTGGTCAGAGGTGCGGACCGGACGTACCGCCCGCCCCTCCGACTGGGCAGAGGTGCGGACCGGACGTACCGCCCGCCCCTCCGACTGGGCAGAGGTGCGGACCGGACGTACCGCCCGCCCCTCCGACTGGGAAGAGGTGCGGACCGGACGTACCGCCCGCCCCTCCGACTGGGCAGAGGTGCGGACCGGACGTACCGCCCGCCCCTCCGACTGGTCAGAGGTGCGGACCGGACGTACCGCCCGCCCCTCCGACTGGGCAGAGGTGCGGACCGGACGTACCGCCCGCCCCTCCGACTGGACAGAGGTGCGGACCGGCTCGGCCGCCCGGCCCGCCCCTCGGCGCGGCTGCACGGCTCGCTGCTCGCTGCACGGTCCGGTCGGTCCGAGACTCTGTCGGAGCTCTACTGGTGACCGTCCGGCGCGCCGCCGCCGCCGCCACCGCCGCCGCCGGCCAGGTCACGGCCCAGGTGGGGCGCGGCGGGGCGGTGCGTCACCAGCCGCGTGTCCACGGGCCGCCACTGGGTAGCTCGGGGGGCGGCGCGCCGCGGCACCTCAGCGCCGGCCCCGTGGGTCACTGAGCGGCGCCGACGGCCGCCACAAGAGAGCTGCCGGCTGGCTGTCGGCCGGCGGTAGCAGAGGGCAGCGGGAACAACCGTCGGCCCGGCGGGTCACCGACGGTCCCATCACCCACCGGGGACTGGTGGTGGGAGTCGCCCACCGGTCCCATCACCCACCGGGGACTGGTGGTGGGAGTCGCTCACCGGTCCCATCACCCACCGGGGACTGGTGGTGGGAGTCGCCCACCGGTCCCATCACCCACCGGGGACTCGTGGTGGGAGTCGCCCACCGGCCTCTGAGGGCGGCACCGGTGGGACTGTCCCTGCCGACTGTCCCTACCCCATGAGTGGGACCGGTGGGACTGTCTCTGCCGACTGTCCCTACCCCATGAGTGGGACCGGTGGGACTGTCTCTGCCGACTGTCCCTACCCCATGAGTGGGACCGGTGGGACTGTCTCTGCCGACTGTCCCTACCCCATGAGTGGGACCGGTGGGGCTGTCTCTGCCGACTGCCCCTACCCTATATGTGAGTGCCTGTTTCTGCGGCGGCCGCTGAGCCCCCAACCCTGTCCTTCTCCCGGTGTGTCGACCACAAAGAATCAAGTGGAGACAGTTATATTTTATGGCCCAATAGCATGGCAAGACGATTGCTTCGAAAATTACCAGTCAAAAATGAGAAACTGAGTCCCGCGAGGCAAAATTGTTCGCCGACTTGGTCCCTTTCTGGCGATACTAGCGCCCCCAGCTTATACAGTAGCGGCCGTTCCGAAAGCTTTAGTTACATAGGTGGCGCCATAGTCGACCAGGCATTAGGCAATGCAGTCGCACTTGAACGATTCTGACAGGATGCTGATTTGCTTGTTGCTAGAAGCGATATAACAGTGTAAGACGCGTGTGGTGGAATAGGCACTACGAAAGTTTGTCAAATACGCACGTTGCACAGTCAGCTTAAAGCGGGTTTATGTATATTGATGGAGACAAGTAGAAAAACACGGAACAAATAGTGCATGGACGCGTTTCGATTATTAAATCTTCATCAGCATGACATAATCACAGAGAAAACAAGATATAGCACACAAACATAGTTTGTGTGCTATATACAAGATATAGTTTGTGTGCTATATCTTGTTTTCTCTGTGATTATGTCATGCTGATGAAGATTTAATAATCGAAACGCGTCCATGCACTATTTGTTCCGTGTTTTTCTACTTAAAGCGGGTTATTTAACAGAATAAATCAAATGCAAGTTTGCGCAATATAATGCAGTTTGACAATTAAGCACAGTTGGATCATGGATGGTGGTATACGGTAAGCCTTGGCGCTGCAGCGTGTAGTGATGACGAGCTTATGTCAGCACATCTCGCTTGGAGTTGAATACGGGGATGATTTTGCGGTGTTTGAAGCATGCCGTGATATGGCCGTGCCGCGCCTCATCGCCCACAACTCGTGAGCTGGCCAGTAACGTAGCGAAGGGGGCCCCTATGGCCTAATGGTCCTTAGGGACCCTCCTTGAGCCTTCCATGGGCCCCTGTCCCCGAAGCTGACGGCAGGACCCTTCGAAGTTTCAAAAGTTCCGGGTTGGGCTGTTTCAAATCGGGACCCCACATGTACCTAGGTATGGGGGCTTTACCTACGTATACCCTACCCAATTTTTTTAGGGCGGACTTCACCCACTTTATTTTTGATCGGCCTCTTTTTCAATTTTTATTTTATATTTATTTCTTATAGTTTGGTTTAAGTCCAAGGGACCCTCTTCAGAGCTAGTGAAGAGGCCCAGTGGTGACTGCCCACTACTGAAAGCCCACCCCATTTATCAGGACACTCACACATCCATTACATTCATAACATTCATACACGTTTGGGGAAAGTGTCAAAGTCCACTGGGGCAGGTTAGTTAGAGGGGAATTCACAGTCACAGCCAAGTCATCATCAAACTTAGGTCAGATTCAGTTCAGCGTATGTCAGCAGCAAGGTAGCCCGGGCTCCCAGAGCACCCAACGAAGCGAGGCTTTTTGTCGGGCGCTCCAAGCTGCCCTATGAGGTGAGCTCATGATATGATGGGGTTCTCTGACTAACATCTGAAGGGTCCTCTGTTAGTGTAAAAGAACTGTTATTTGCGCGAGGGGCCCTTTTTGGACCGAGAGGGCCTTCCGTCAGCCTGAGGGGCTCTTTGTTCGTCCAAGGGGTCTTACATCAATCGGGGGGGGGGGCGTTTCCCCACCTGGGGAGGTCCTCTATCGACTTGAGGGCCGGTCTCTCTCCCGACCTGGGACCCAACACAAAATGTTGTTTTAGATTGGGTTTTCGGCATCGGAGATCAGCTGTGCCGCACTTATGCCATAAGACACGCAAAACGGCACCCTTTTTCCACATATATCCCTCACACAGAACGAATATTGTATCCAATATTTGTTTATTGCGTGCTTCTGCTAACGCAATAAATTCGTTCATAAGAAGGTAATTAAAATAGAAAGTAGGATATTTACCAGTTGCATCAACCCTCGCTGGTACAGGGGGTTGATGCAACCCTCTAAGGTTTTTCGCAAATAACTCGCGTAAAAAGCTGCCGATCGCAACGAAACTTTCAGTACCCTCGCATTATTCAATTTTACACCTACCCTTAAAATTTCATGACCCTGACCCAAATGACCTTTGACCTGTGACCTCTTTTCCGAGACCATGTTTGGCCGGAATCGCGATTCGGCGTATGTCGTCTCGCATTAGCCGCGCGTTTGCAAGCTTTTCGTGGTTTCAAACGTTTAAACATGTGATTTGATGTTGCTCCCATACATTAGGGTGGGTGTCAAGGTCACCTGAAGGGCAGGTTAGGTCATTGACCTTTGGTGACCTCGGGTGACCTCGGTTCACTTTTTCGAGTTTTACATGATTCTAGGCTAGTTTTTGGAGCTGAATTGGAATTTAGCAACCATTTGAACATTTACGAAGTAGTTTTGGTGCCTTCGTAACATGTTACGAAGCTGTCAGAGGCGGTTGACACGTATTACGAATACCCGTCACAACCCCTACCGGTTGACCTGACCTGACCTGACCCGACCTGGTCTAAATGCTTAAATACATCATCTCTGATCAAAACTAACACGATATTCGTGATCAGCACCCCGGAAAACCACATAGAAGCCAAACTTTACGACTTTCTAACAGGTCCCGATTTTCCCGGTTTTCGGGTCATTGACCTGACCTGGAAGGTCACCCGATGACTTAGGACCTTAAAATTGGGTATCATCGGCTTCCTCTCGTGACGGTTAACAAGCTCGTTTTTTCCGCGAAGGTCTAGCTCGATCAGGGGCCAAACGCGAGGGCGTCGACTATCAGTCACATCAAAAAATACGGTTGTCCTAGGTGGCGCCACCAACAAAAACCGTCATTACAGATGTCGCTGGGGTAGATTAGGTCGGTTCGGGCCCATCCGCCAAAAATCGTTCGCGGCACTCAATTAACGCATGCTAAGTGTTCCGGTGCTAATAAATCAATTTCATAATACCATAGGCCATAAAAAATCGCTGTCTCCTCAAGATCAAAGAGAAAAACCCTTAGTATGACACACCCTACTCCCCAGTCCGCTGTGCAGGGTCGCTCGAGGTCACGTGGTCAACTGGGCTGTCTTCTCCAATGCACCTTGTATTCGTCAGTCGACCTTACACACCACCGTGCAGTCACATGGCTACGACCCGACTCCCCTCCGTGCCGTCCGACGCGCCGACATGGCCCCACAACTGGGACAAACGGCCGCCGGGGACGCTCCTATGTCCGATGTTCGTCTCCGTCCACACCGGAGAGGACAGGGCAGGCGGCGGCCGGCCGACGCTGCCCGCGGCGCCGAGGTGACACCCTCAGACCTCGCTGCTCCCAGTACGCTACACTGGTCAGGCCGGGCCGGCGGCGGCGTGCCATCGGCCGCCGGCCAGCCGGCCTCCCCGTACTGACCACTCACTCACATACAACACACACACCTGTTTATCGAGAAACATACACAACATACGCTCTGAACTATGTAATCAGCAGCCACTAACGAATAACGATGGTCTTCCATAGCTTATTAGTCTCAAATGTTGAGTTTTTAATTGCCGTTTAACTGCCGTTTTTACGTTATTTGCGAAAAACCTTAGGGAGTGTTGCATCACTCCCCTCGCCGGGCGAGGGTTAAATAGTAAATACCTCAGTCGACGGCCGATCCGGACAGAAATTCCGGCCTGGGTGAGGGTCAGCTGCCCCTTCTGACCCCCTTTGCCTTCGCCACGAATCCAACCTGATGGTCGGTGTAACGCTTATCAGTTATCTTTCGACCAATAGTACATACATACCGGGCCTCTGTCTATCTGAGACGATGTTGCACGGGACTGGTCTGATAGTCGGAGCCACTGCAGCCCGATAGTGGCTATCTGGGAGCGGCGTCTGCTCAGGACTATCGGGGTGGAAGCTCGGACAGACGCCGCGGCCATCCGTCAGACGCCCGCTGCTGTCGACCGTCCATGGTAAGTCATGGGAACAGAGCATATCCAGTCAACTTTCTTTGGGATAGATGCAAGTGAGCACAAAGCGAGTCTATTCAGCCATAGACTCGAAAACGTATGCATGTAACGGCAGTGCAACGCAATCCGTCAAGAAACGCTTGACGGATCAACACGAAACTTGCGGTATTCTCAACGGCATCAATTTTACACCTTGTGTTTAAATTTCAACTTTCTAGCTACCATAGTTGGGCCGGAAATGACGTTAGAGTGACGTCATGTCGGACGATTTTAATGCAAAATATTGAATTACCGCAAACGCTCTCAAGAGCTCAGTTTTAAAGCTAGATCCATTTTCTTTGCATGAGTGGACTGCAAATACATGTAACTATCAAACTGTTATCTCGAATTCTCGACATTTTGAAAATTTTGAGAAATATGTATTTACAATTACAAAAAAAACTCTAGCGAGTTTTAGCCTAATATCTGCAAAAATAGCAAAGTCATTTGCATTATTGTCAAAATTTTACAATTAAATATTTTTCAAAACCATTTTTCAGTACCTTAAACGGGGGTGACTTTGCCTTGTTGGGTGACTTTGCCATGCTTCTCAAAAAATGCTTTAGGGTGATCTCTAGTGATATTTTAAGAAAAATGTAATAATTTGTTATGCACAAATGAAAGATAATTGATGGGCCTTCCAAAATAACCAACACTGAGAGATGAGTTACCACTAAATACCTAACTGGGCTCCATTTTATTGAAGTCATTGAAATGGTCAAATTTGAAGAGGTCCGAACTTTTTATTATCTAACCATGTTCTATACCAACTGCGATGCTGAAACTTGGTGTGCTTGATCATGACAAGGCTGTTAAGTTAGCATATCCAACAAAACTGGCATTTGTCTTTCATTTAGCTAATTTTTTTTGGTGGCGATTCTTCCAAGTGAATTGCAGGCCACATTGGGTGACTTTGCCATCATGTTATCAATGCAAAAATGAAATACCGATGAAATGAATGAAATACCGAACTTATCCGATGCAATTCAAAATAAGTTTTTAATGTAGCATCATTTTGCTTTCCAAACTTGTTTTTAGGAAGTACAAGTTTATATGATGAAAGTTAGCACAGAAATGCACAGTGGGAGTATAGAAAGACAAAAATTACCAAAATAAAAAAATGGATGAAGCTGGACCAAACTTTTCAGCACAGCCATGATCATCTATATCATCTCCTGAGTTTGCCAGTAAGACTGGCTGAAGAAATCTGTATCATTTTATAGATCAAAACGCTGATAACAATTGTGTCGGTCAGTTCCCGCAAGAAGATCCTCTTTCTGTTCCTCTTAACCCTATTCCTGGCGGGCTCCGCCGGGACAAGAAACTGGCGGGGGGGGGGGCCAATTCGGCCCCCCCTGAGATCTCGAGAACGAAGCAAGATAGCGACAAGCGGTAAACGGCATCAGATACGCATGGACAAGGTCTACAATTTTTACAAAGGTCATTTTCAGGTCAGGTCAAAGATGACGTCACAGGGGTCGAAAAAGTCAAAATGGCGGCGCTAGATATGGAGAGAGTTTGTCTCGAATAACTTTCGAATTAGTCAAGATAGGAACAAACTAAGGGCATCATCGTGATCCTCTCGTCAATCCGCATCGAATGATATATATGTTGACCTCGAAAGGTCAAGGTCAAAGGTTGACCTCAGGTCACGTGACCTCGAGGTCATCATGTATATCACTCGATGTGTCTTGACGAGCTGAACACAATGAGACCATCCACGCGTCTGTATCTTGTTCCTGTACGGAGTTATTGGCCAAAAACCTTTGGTGACCTTTGATGACGTCACATGACCTCACAGCTGCCCAACAGCAAAACAGACCTCAAGGTAGTGAAGGTTGATTGTATATGAAGTCATGTATGATATATGGGGCCATTCCGACCCGTTTTAGTGGTAAAAACAGGGAGTTGATTTTTCCCCCATTGACTTATAATGGGGAGGTCGCGAAACTGACCTGACCTTAGGTCACCGATATCAAAATTCCGAGATATACAAATTGCACATACTGGTACCCTTACTAAAGCCTGAAGAGAAGAAATTGATCGGTCAAAAACTCTAGCTCTGGCGTGATTGCAAACTTTTCTGAGGTAGGGTCACCAAACCGCCTCTGGTGACCTGACCTGAGGTCAGATCAACTCAAAATTTTCAGACATGTTAGGGTTAATGCCGCTGGAAAAAAGCGGCAATGTCCTAGAGTACCGATACAATAGTATATTTGCTAATTTATCGATTCTGAACCATTTTCAGTATCTATTTACTATCAAATATCAATTATTCTCAACAAATATAATGTATTATAAAAAGTAAGGTATCTCTCCTTTTTTGTACATTGTTTAAGAGCAAAAAACCTAGAATTGCTTTATTTTTTTCCTATAAAACAATAAAGGATGGTTGCCCTTACCAATACAATGGACCAAAAATGATTGAAAAGTATTTGTTAGCGTTAAAAAAACATTATTTGGCATAGTGGCAAAGTCACCCCTTTTTCAGTTTAATTTTGCCACGACTCATCTTCCTTAAAAATTTATATTTTTAGGCAAGCTATAGGGATAATTGCAAAACCCAAAGAGCTAATCGTCATCCGTGTTTTGAACATAGAGTCATCCCAAAAAGTTAACCCTCGCCCGCACATGGGGGGGGGGTGGTTGCCACCCCCCCAGGTAGTCTTTCTGCTCTGCACTCAACATTTTTAGCGCTAGAAGGCTGATTTTTCGTATAGATGCTCCTCTATCCTTTCTTGATGTTCACTGAAACTTTCAAGTTTCTGGGATTTTTGGTTTCGGAGATATGACCTTGTTTTTCAGGTCATGTCATGACCCAAATGGCCAATTCTCAACATCTTGCGTTTGCCATGGGCCTTGCGAGCTTTTGACACCCTGATTTCGGCCTTTTTTGCCAGTCTTACCTCCCACCTATCATAGGACATGTTGTTCGACGATGTACAGGGGTCAAGGTCAGGGTCAAGGTCAACCTAGGTCATCTAAGATAATTGCGTTTTAGGCAAGCTGAATTTACTTTTTTGAAGTTTTTTGACTGCATTTTTGGTAAAAGCTTCTCAGATCATGATTTCATGTAATATGGACCCAAAAACAATCGGTGCACACATCAGTATACACACAGACACACACAGACATACAAACACATATAATTGACCTTGACCTAACTTGACCTGAAATGACCTCAGCCGCAAAATTCTGGTCGGGTAGTGTGACAAAGAGGTTCTAGCTGGCTTGGCACCAGAAAACAGCATCGTCATCGGTATTTGATAAGCAGCGCACTTGATATCCAACGGTGACCCAAAACAGCAACATTTTTTAGTTTGACCTGACCTGGAAGGTCAATGACTGACCTGAGAAGGTAAAACTGGGTATCATTGGATTCGTCTCTTCCCAAAGAATCTTTTCGGTCTTTACCGCTAAGCTCTATCTCCAACAGGAACGAAATGGCGCGGGGGGGTGGCAACCCCCCCCCCCCATGTGCGTTCTAGGATGGGAAAATGGCATGTGCGGGCGAGGGTTAACAAGTTTAAAAATTCAAGCGTCTAAAGTTGAAAACATGGCAAAGTCACCCCCGTTTACGGTACGTTTTTGACATCGTACAACAATATAAATGGCACCATCGTGTTGCTGACCTCAAACTGCATCTTATAGTCATCTCTTTGTTGAAAAAAAAATCATTTTCAAAATTTGACCTTTTCTGACCTGAGTGACCTGACCTGCGGTAAATTCAGCTAAAATGATCTTAAATGACACAGACGACATTTTTTTTTTGAAATACGAGTATATGTGTAAAATGGACCATAAAACATGCGTCTCGTGACTGATACATGATATACAATTTCCGTGACCTAGGATGACCTGTCCTTGACCTGAAAAATTCGAAGTAAAAGTTCGGTACCCTCAGGATATCTAAGACATATATCAAGGACTGCGTAAGCCAAAAATGAGCCTGATCGGACTTGTCAGCCGGCGGTCAGGGCCTAAATTGTGAACAAGCAAAAATGCCGATAATTTTTACTTTGACCTGACCTGTGACGTCATCAGTGACCTCTAGCTCAATGAAAATAGGTTTCGATTGACAGTTTTTCCAGGGCTATCAGACGCCCTTTGCATTTTGACGATCGGCCCAGTAGTTTCGGAGATAGGGGGGGGGGCTCTGGAGGGCCCCCCAGTCACTCGCGTTATGGAAAGTACTCCAGTCATGCGCGGGTTAAGGACAAATCAGGGAAACAATCAAAGCTATTTGTTCTGCACCCTCCAGTCAAGAAAACAATACAAATGGTAAAAGGCAAAGAAAAACGTTTCAAAATTTGTTTGTAGTTACCTTCACGGTTCTGATTGACAAAAACTACACAGAAATAATTTGCAATGAAAATAAGAATTACTTCCTTGCACGGCCACACCACGTCACATTTCCCCGATCTGAAACCTAACCAATCACTCTGACCCATTTCCAGACAGACGGTTTCTCTGAATAACTGGCGATGGATGGCCAGGTTTCTTCAGAGCTGAAAGTTGTGCAGGAGGTAAGCAAAATATTATTGCAGGTAGGGTGAAGTCGTATAAAAGTATGCACTTAGTGGATTTCTTGCTCTTATTTGTTTATTATTTGAAAGTAAGAAATCGCAAATATGGAATATTAAAGTTCATCAAATTAGCCATCAACCCATGAGGCAACGATCCTTCAACGTAAATGGAAGTGGTCTAAAACTGACGTTTTCTGAACCGCTGCTGTTGCGTACTCTTACCACATGGGGTGTGTATGAGTACGCACACCATGCGGGTGGAGTACGCCAGCATTTGAACACACACCTGTGCAGCTTGTACTGTTCAAATGCTTAACATCAAACTCAGAAGACATTTAATTTAATTTTAATATCCAAAAAGAAAAAAATCTTGTAAATCTCAAAATCAAGAAATAATCAGTTCATTATGTGGTTCTAAGAAATGTAGGGTAGCCTGGGGCAACACGCCCCAGATAATTTATTTTGCTACATAAATTTTGTCACACATCACCTGAAAGGCCAAATTTGTGCTCAATACGTTCTTTGGACATTTTACTTTAACCTTCCAGGCGGTGGGGGGGGCAATTTTTTGCCCCCCCCCTTTAGTTTTTTCGATATATCTCGAGAACCGCTGCGCCGATCGTCACCAAACTTTCAGTACCCTCCCGGGAGCAGCTAGCGCACATGGTGACCAAAAATTTTTCCAAAGGCTACGAGAGGTTGGCCGTTAATGACGTCAGAGTGACGTCATTTTTCCCATTTTCGACCCAAAAAAAGGTTTCGCGGGAAGAGCTGTCAGGCCTACAGCTTTAGAGATACAGAAAAATGTTTTTGACATAAAAGGTGTGGAATTAAAAGAGCTACAAAACTGCTATTTCGGTTTTCCGAATTTTTTGGATTTTGACCCCCAAAAATCAAAAAATAAATTTTTTGAATATAATAGCTAAAAAATCCAAAAAGTTTTTTGAATTTCGAAAAAAACGGAATATATGTGATAGCCCCTACCGCCTTCTATCTACATACCAAATTTGAGATCGATACCTCTTTTTTTGGCCAAGTTATAGCGAAAAAACTGTTCAAAATTGATGACGTCAAATTTTCAAACTCAATTTTTAGCAATTCTAGACCTCGTAGCGCAAAACAAAGACCACCATTAGACTCCCCGTGACAAGCTGCATCGAATCGATACCCATTTTATGCAAAAATATCAACTTTGAAATTTGACCTTTTTTGACCTGACCTTGACCTGACCTCCACCAGAAAGTGACCTAAACCGTACCTGATGGTCTTATAACCAACACCATTGAGTTGGAAATGAAAAACTAGCCATAAAACATGCATCGCATAACCTTAGTAAAGTTGGGCTCATGTGGTGACCCTTGGTGACCTTTGGTGACCTGACCTGTGACCTGACCTGGTATGACCAGTGACCTCTAATAGCAACATATGTACTAGACAACTGGCGCCTTATCACTGATTTTCGACAAAATGCGTTTTACTCGGTGTTATAGCGCTTTCCCTAGAAGCCCCGTGAACGGTGAAACATTTTATCTTTGACCTGACCTGTGACGTCATCGGTGACCCCGAGGTCAATGAAATTTGGTTTCCCTCGACAAATTTGACAGGGCTATCGAACGCCGTTTGAATTTTCCGGATCCGTCCAGTAGTTTCGGAGATACGGGGGGGGGGCAAAAAATTGCCCCCCCCCCACCGCGCGGAAGGTGGCTGGTAGGCCCACCGCCTGCCGGGTTAAATTGCACCCCTCAAATTCATTCACTTATGATCGGACTCCAAGCTAGGAAGTGATTTGTGAAGCAACTGCAAATGGGGCATTTTGCCCCAACCCCAGGGCAAAACGCCCCACGGCCTGGGGCAAGTAGCCCCATACTTTAGATTAAAGATTTAACATGGTAGTTGGCTAAATCTTATGTGAGAGGTCCGTTAGATCTCTGGAGGCACGGCACTGAAGTTAGCACATTCCATCCTGTCAGGTGTTCAGCTATGACACTATTGTATGAGCAGGTTTTTCACCTACCTCATAAGACCAAATAATAAATTATTGCAATGCAAATGTTAACAAAATACTTCCTTCGCCATCCAGTTGCTGAGAAAAATACACATAAAGGCATAGAAACTTACTGTTCGCCAGCTACCGAACATTAGAAAGTGGGTAGCCCGAACAACACATGAGGTAAAACGCCCCAGGGGCTTTTTGCCCCGCGACCTACTGGGGCGTTTTACCCCATCACGTAGTTCGGTCAGAGAACAACGCCTTGCACTCCAGCAAGACATAATTTAACACGAACCAACCCGGCATGATAAGCGTTAGACAATAGTTGTTCAAAACACATAAAAGTCGTTAACCTGATGTGGACCATAAAAGAACGCCATGATACATAATCTGACAACAAAACATAAAAATCACTTAAAAAACACATTTTTGGCTATATCTCCCGAAAGAGTCATCACAATTTCTTTCCAGTCTGCTCATATAATGATCATATAGTGCACGTTTTACAGAAGAGAGGATGTTTCCCCGGAACTCTGCCAGTTCCGAGAAACATCGGTGAGGCGTTTTACCTCGGCGGGGCGACTTGCCCCGGTCTACCCTACAATCAAAAGAGAATAACTCGTACTTAGAAGAATTTCGGGTACGCATCTGCCACACAGTGCTCCATTGATGAGATACCTACAAAGCAAACGTCATTGGGCGACATATCAATAATTCTATATATCTATACAATTAGATATACTGCATAATTCTGGGTACTCATACCCTCATGAACAGTGCGTCGTCCTCTTACCCTACATGCAATTCGCGCACAAAACAACCCCGAAACATTGTGCAAAACTTCACACACAGAATATTGCCCTGCACAGTATTTCCCCAGAAAACCCCACAAGTTCCCCACAACAATCACGAAAATGTACCTTATCTCAACTACCAAGTATCAAAATTATTGTACCATACCTACCATAATAATATCATAACGCTCCAAAATAATATTCATCGCCCTAAACTCAACAGCAGGGCTGCGGAATCGATGGATTTTCGGCGACTCCGACTCCGGCTCCGACTCCGGCTTTCAAAAACCAGCTCCGACTCCGACTCCGACTCCGGGCAGAATTGTCGACTCCGACCGACTCCAACTCCCGACTCCGACTCCGCAGACCTAGCAGGGCTGCGGAGTCGACAGATTTTCGGTGACTCCGACTCCGACTCCGGCTCGGGTTTATAAAATCGACTCCGACTCCGACTCCGACTCCGGTCATAACTGTCGACTCCGACCGACTCCGACTCCGACTCCGACTCCGACTCCGCAGCTCTGCTCAACAGCGTCGCCGCACAACGTCCACGTTCCGTTGGTGACAAACACGCACTGGCGGCTTCATGTCACTTCATGAACTCGACAAACCCGCGTTGCTAGGCAACCGAAACAGCTGATGCGTGAGGGGGGGGCACTACCGACTTTTGGTCCCATTCTTTCCATGCAACGCCCATAGGGCTAATGTTAAAATGCCAAAATCAAAGGGGGGCACGGTACCCCGGTGCCCTCCCCGCTCCGCCGCCTATGATTGCCCGTGTCCTCTTACCCGCCCTTACCCTATGTACCTTTGGAGTTTCGCCAAAGGACAACAATGCAAAAGCATTGCCTTGTTCAATCTATCAAATAACCATTACAAAAACAAAGTTACTATTTGTTGCCTGTTTACCACAGTGTGGAAACAATAAGTGTCACATCTTGATTATTTTGTCAACAGGTTGAAGAAGGAGACGTCATTTCTGTCGGCTCCATCAAGTATAGTGAGAAGAAACTACTGGGAAAAGGAAGCTATGGGACGGCTGTTTATCAGTAAGTTATGCCTATCCGCTGTTCAGGAAGTACTGGGAACAATATGTACAGTATGTCTAAAAAGAATGTACCGTCGCCACTACGTGGCGCTGGTGTCGCGAGCCGGTAGTTGGCTGAATCCGCACCAGACCACACATTCCCAAGCGCTAGGTGACAGCTGCGCAGTGGCCGGTAGTAGCGTAAGCCCGAACCTTCGTGACACGACCCGGGGGGGGGAGGGAGGGGAGCGGTAGAGCACTTCACGGATAGGCTTTTTAGGATCCGGCCCGGCCCATATCCGGCAAGTCATATCCAGATCCGCCCATTATCCGCCTTTCTTTGAATATCAGAATCCGGCCCACCCATGGCCCGTATTGCAGCCAAACTTCCAAAAAATATCCGTAATAATCCGTTTCACCAATAACTGGTTTCACCCAAAACTGGACTAACAAATTCAATCTAAGGGACCAGACAGTCATACATCTCATAGACCATCATGGTTCCAAAAACCATGCATACATTGCATACATTATCCACTTGAAGACAAGTCTTGTGACAAGTGAGTGTCATAAAATGATGCCTATTACTTTAATCAAACCTCTGCTGCCGCTTAACACATTAGGTTAATTTTTAACTTCAATGTTGAATGTTAAAATTTTGATCCGTTTTGATCCGGGTTCAACCTTCAATTCCCAAATCCGGCCCGCCCATATCCGTTCTTTTTTAACAAATTTAGAATCCAATCCTATCCGGTCCGCGGATTTATCCGTGGATAACGGATTTATCCGGCCCATGAAGTGCTCTAGGGAGCGGGCGGGGCAGCGCGTGTAGGGAGGGGTGCTCCGGCAAGCTGGCAGTTGTCGCGGCCAAAGGTCAAGGGCCAAGGGGTCACACACCAAGCGAACGGACGCTGATGTGGGTTCGTGGGGATCATGAACTTGTGTGTGGTAGGTGCGTCTTGCGATGCACGGGTGATACGCCAGGTCTAAGCCAAAGGATTCAGGGGAGAGCTGAAGAAAAACACCTGGTCAACTACGGCGAATAATGGTGCTGAAAAGTGGAAAGTATGGGTCAATGCAAGCCTTCATGACTATAAACAACTTTTTTGAGGACGCAAAGGCCAGCATTGAATAACGATATCCGGATCAAAATTAGCAATGATTTATAATTACATGCCGAACTAATAGCGCTGCAAAACCCTCCTAGTAAATTGTCAAGTCGGATTATACCCACTTGAATTAAACTATCCTAAATAAAATTGTTAATTAACCCGCGCCCTGGTGGGGTCTGTTTGTAACGCGACCTGGTGGGGGGGGGCTATTTTTTGCCCCCCCTCGTATCTCCGAAACTACTGGACGGATCCGCAAAATTCAAACGGCGTTCGAAAGGCCTGTCAAATTTGTTGACGGAAACCAAATTTCATTGACCTCGGGGTCACCGATGACGTCACAGGTCAGGTCAAAGATGAAATGTTTCACCGTTCACGGGTCTTCTAGGGAATGCGCTATAACACCGAGGAAAACGCATTTTGTCGAGAATCAGCGGTAAGGCGTCAGTTGCCTAGTAGATATGTTGCTATTAGAGGTCACTAGCAATACCAGGTCAGGTCACAGGTCAGGTCACCAAGGGTCACAGGTCAGGTCACATGAGCCCAACTTTACTAAGGTTGTGTGATACATGTTTTATGGCCAATTTTTCATTTCCAACTCAATGGTGTTGGTTATAAGACTATCAGGTACGGCTTAGGTCACTTTCTGGTGAAGTTCAGGTCAAGGTCAGGTCAAGGTCAGGCCAAAAAAGGTCAAATTTTAAAGTTGATATTTTTGCATAAATTGGGTATTGATTCGATGCAGCTCGTCACGAGGAGTCTAATGGTGGTCTTTGTTTTGCGCTATGGGGTCTAGAATTGCTAAAAATTGAGTTTGAAAATTTGACGTCATCAATTTTGAACAGTTTTTTCGCTATAACTTGGCCAAAAAAGGAGGTATCAATCTCAAATTTGGTATGTGGATGGAAGGCGGTAAGGACTATCACATATATTCCGGTTTTTGCGAAATTCAAAAAACTTTTTGGATTTTTCGATAAGTATATCCAAAAAATCTATTTTTTGATTTTTGGGGGTCAAAATCCAAAAATTTCAAAAATCCAAGATAGCAGTTTTGTAGCCCTGTCCAATCTGCAGCTTTTATGTCTTTATCATTTTTCTGTATTTGCAAAGCTATAGGCCTGACAGCTCTTCCCGCGAAACCCTTTTTTGGGTCGAAAACGGCAGAACATGACGTCACTCTGACGTCATTTCCGGCCAACCTATCATAGCCTTTGGAAAAATTTTTGGTCACAATGTGTAAAATTGATGTCCGGGAGGGTACTGAAAGTTTGGTGACGATCGGCGCAGCGGTTCTGGAGATATATCGAAAAGTCTGGAGGGGGGGCAAAAAATAGCCCCCCCCCCACCAGGGCGCGGGTTAACTTTCTGACACTGACGTTCTTTATCATACGATAAGTATGGGGTTAACCAAGAGTCAGCATCTTCCGCGTTCAAACAATCACCTGTAAGGCTAGAACATTAATGGCCAGGTAAAAACATGGTCGGGATTTGATTAACCGGATAATAAGTCGATTTTTTTAGTTGGGATTTGATAAGTCGGATTTTTTTTACGCCAACCGCATTTTTAAGTCAAGTCAGGTCACTGATCTATGACGTCGTAAATGAGCAGTCCTAAAATGAACTATGTGAAACTGTCCAAAACTGTCCTAAAATGAGCATTTTAGGACTGTGTGCACAGTCCTAAAATGTTCCAACTTCGCAACACCCTCAGTGCAGAGCTTTCATAGGGAGATAAAACTTACAGGATCTTATAGTATGGTCGAGAGGTCTCACAACTTGTATAAATGTATATCTCGGATTTTGTGAAGGGTCGCCTGAGATCAGGTCGGTCTCTCACCATTAAAAGTCAGGTGGAATATGGAAATTGCTAGTTTGGTCCGGAAATGATATACAACTATCTCAAATTCTCAAGCACACGGAATCGTGATTTCATGCGCTCCTTGCAAGGTCTGACTTCTTCAATTTTGCTTTGTTGATCTTGCGTGACGTCATTTATCACGCAACTAAGGCTATCAGTTTTTCGTCAATAACTCCCGATCAACTAAAGCTACCGAGTCGATAAAGCCACTAATGGACAATGGACATGAAAAGACTTGCCGAATCGATTGATATGCAATATGACCTTCTTTGACCAGCTTCGTGACCTGACGGGCTGTGACCTGACCTTGGCCCGAGGTTAACACCTTAACTATCACCCGTATTGGTGTTTTTCCAGCCGCAAACGTATAAAGGGGGGTCCGTTGGACCCCCCCCCCCTGCCGTTTCGCCCCTGATCGAGCTAGAGCTTCGCGGAAAAAACGATCGTGTTGGCCGTGACGAGAGGAAGCCGATGATACCCAATTTTCATAGGTCATCGGTTGACCTTCCAGGTCAGGTCAATGACCCAAAAGTCGGGAAAATCGGGACAGCTGTTAGAAGTCGTAAAGCCTGGCTGCTATGGGGTTTTCGGGGTGCCGATCACGAATATCATGTTAGTTTTGATCACAGATGATGTCTTCATTCATTTAGGCCAGGTCGGGTCAGGTCAGGTCAGGTCAACCAATAGGCATCGTGACGGGTATTCGTAGTACGTGTCAACCGCCTCTGACAGCTTCGTAACATGTTACGAAGGCACCAAAACTACTTCGTAAATGTTCAAATGGTTGCTAAATTCGAATTCAGCTCAAAAAACTAGCCTAGAAACATGTACAGCTCGAAAAAGTGAACCGAGGTCACCCGAGGTCACCAAAGGTCAATGGCCTGACCTGACCTTCAGGTGACCTTGACACCCACCCTAATGCATGGAAGCAACATCAAATCACATGTTTGAACGTTTGAAACCAGAAAAGCTTGCAAACGCGCGGCTAATGCGAGCCGACATACGCAGCCGACCATAAGCTACTACGAGACATCAAAGCAGAAGGTGTCGCGCGGCTCTCAGCGCTCTGCCGCGCTGCCCGGCGCCGCGGCGGTCAGATGACTGCGGCGTACCGCCGCAGGAGTTGCGTGTGGAAAAACATATCAAAATATTCTCCCATAAATTCTGCATTGGAATCAACTCTTATATTTTGCCCAATTTTGTCCAAACAGCTAATACGAGACATCAAAGCAGAAGATGTCGCGTGACTCCCAGCGCTCCGCCGCGCTGCCCGGCGCCGCGGCGGTCAGCTGACTGTGGCGCACCGCCGCAGGAGTAAAGTCGTGCTAGGAGGGGCTAAGTCCCCACAGTGCGGCGGCCGCTTTCTGGTCTGCGCAACATGGCGGCACCGTTGGACGATTCCAGGACAAAAAGTCAAAAGACAAAATGTCAAAAGACAAAAAGTCAAATGCAAAAAGTTAAAATGGATAAAAGTCAAATGGAAAAAGTCAAATGGATAAAAGTCAAGACGGATAAAAGTCAAAAGACAAAAAGTCAAATGGCAAAAAGTCAAAAGCAAAAAGTCAAATGGCAAAAAAACAAAATGGCAAAAAGTCAAAATGGCGAAAAGTCAAAAACGAAAAAAGTCAAAAGCCAAAAAGTCGAATGGCAAAAACTCGAAATGGCGAAAAGTCAAAAACGCAAAAAGTCAAAAGCAAAAAGTCAAATGGCAAAAAGTAAAAAAAAACGCGAAAAGTCAAAAGACAAAAAGTGAAAAACGGCAAAAAAGTCAAAATGATAAAAATCAAATGGAAAAGTCAAATAAGAAAAAGTCAAAAGTAAAAAGTCATATATCTAAAAAACCATAAGACAAAAAGTCAAATGATCAATGTCAAAATTCCTAAAAGTCAAAAAACATAAGCCAAAAGCAAAAAGTCAAAACCGCAAAAGGTCAAATAAATAAAAGTCAAATGGAAACAAGTCAAAAATCAAATATGTAGAAAGTCAAAAGAAAAAGTCAAATATTAATAATTTCTATTGTTTTATTGTAAAACGAAACTAAAAAAAAACCTTAGTCAAAGCCACTTGAAGTGAAAACGGTTAAATTCAAATGGAAATAAGATAAACAAGACAGAGTCAAAAGTCAAGAGTCGTTCATTGTATCATTGTAAAACATATGTATCAACCCTCGCATGACCAGCGGGTCGATGCGACCCGTGACGTTTTCTCGCGATAGCTTCCGAACGACGCGGCGGATCGTGATGAGAATTTGCAAAGCTGATGGGGCAGCCCTTGCGCATATTTTAGTACTAGATGCCGGCACCACTACCGTGTTGCCTTGGACCGGAATCGGAGGCGAAAATGTTTGGAATGAGTGAGATTCGAACCCGCGATCTTTCTATTTGTAAAGAGTTTTTTGGTCATATCACGTGCTACGTTTATGCTAGAGCGCTCATTCTTTCAGCATCTTGTAGCGCTTCTCGAGTTCTATCAGTGTGCCAAGTTTCATGGTCAATAGATGGCGGTTTTAGAGCGTTTTCCGTGAAAAAAGATTTTTGCCTCTGGCACGTGCAGCTTGCACCCCTCCGGGACCGAACCCCCCTAGGTTGAAGGTTCACTATGGGGAGCATGTGGCCTGTGAGTATGGCGGCTGTATCATCATCCGTTTGGCCTGTAGCCCTGACAACAAATTTTTGCAGAGCCCCATGTGGCGGCACGTGACACGTGACACGTGGCACGGATCGCCACGTGACCGACGCCATCGTCTTTCCGGCGGATCGTTGCGTCTAATGGTACCAACCCCGTCCCGATCGGACCAGCCGTTTCGGCGCTAGGACCCAAAATGCTCGACAGACAGACACACACACAAACACACACACAGACTCACAGGCCCGAGCCAACTTTTCCGCAGCGACCTCCCAATGGGAATCTTAGTTCGCTCGGGCGCGCTTCGCGCGCCCTCGCTCACTACGATTCTGGATAATAATTTTGACCAGGTCAGGTCACAAGTTATGATGTCATAAGAGATACAGCCTCCGGCTGACTTTTCAATGGAATGATATGTTACCACAAATAGATAAGGCTTTATTGATACAAATTCAAACCTTTTATGTTGTTTTGGTCAGACGTTATACGATACCTATCCCTGTGCAATGTGCATCCCAACCATTGACCCCGAAAGGTCATCTGAGGTGAGCGGGCTCGATTAACCTAACCTTTGCCCAAAATCACGTTTTTGTATCTATGCTGACCAGCTGCGTGAGGCAGGACCGGCGAGGATGTGGACAGTGCTGCGGCCGGTGATCGGGGCGGGGAAGAGTGCCACTGCTTCTGCGCCAGCGTGCACGCCGGAAGCGCTCAACGCGTATTATGTGAGCGTGGGCCCCACCACCGCAGCCAGCGTCCCTGCCCCGCTGCTGCGGACCCCGGTACATACCTGTCAGAATCCCTCGCGTACTCACATGTTCCTTACAACTTCAGTGGAAGGGTACGTTGCGCTGTATAATATTTTTTCAAAAAATGAAAAGATCGATGCTTCGACTTTTATCCTTTTGACTTTTTATTTCAGACTTTGACTTCGACTTTTCTATTTTATATTTTTTTTTCAATTTTTTGACTTTTTGTCTCTTGACTTTTGCCCGTTTTGACTTTTTGCTTTTGACTTTTACTCGTTTTGACTTTTGGTCTTTTGACTTTTTTCCGTTTTGACTTTTATCCTTTTGACTTTTTGCATTTTTGACTTTTTGTCTTTTGACTTTTACACGTTTTGACTTTTTGCTTTTGACTTTTTGTCTTTTGACTTTTTTCCGTTTTGACTTTTATCCTTTTGACTTTTTCATTTTTGACTTTTTGCAATTTATACTTTTTGTCATTTGACTTTTCCGTTTTTGACTTTTGCACATTTTGACTTTTTGCTTTTGACTTTTTGTCTTTTGACTTTTATCCGTTTTGACTTTTATCTTTTTCACTTTTATCCCGTTTGACTTTTTGCATTTGACTTTTTGTCTTTTGACTATTTGTCTTTTGACTTTATTCCTTTTGACTTTTTTGTCCGGTTACCCCGTTACCCCGTTGGACACCATCTGACGGCCGATGCGCCTTCCACATCATGGAGTTCAGTGCTTGGGTATCATTGGATTTGTCTCTTCTCAAAGAATCTGTTGCTCTTTACCGCGAAGCTCTATCTCCAGCAGGAACAAAATGGCGTGGGGGTGGCAACCCCATGTGCGTTCTAGGATGGGAAAGGGAAATGTGCGGGCGAGAGTTAAATGTGTCCCTTTTACCTGGCGACAGTGACACTTCCAATGAATGCTTTTGCTCACAGGGGACGGTTCGGTACGCGGGAAAATGTGGCTGTGAAACGTATCTTCTACATCGATGAAAAACAAGAACGCTGGATTGAAAAAGAAATCAAGCATCTCCAAAAACTTGAAGAGGATGGCATCAATGTCATTAGGTAAGATCGAGAGTTACCCCGCGCCCTGCAGTGGGGGGGGGGGGGGTTGAAGGGGGCAAGGGGCTATTTTTAACACCTCCCCCTCCAGTCTTTTCGGAATATCTCTGTTCGCCGCTCGTCACAAAAATTTCAGTACCATCTCGTACATCTTGCCCGAGAGGGCCGGACTCCTGCCTTCCTCGCCCTGGACAAACAAGTAAAATATGTTATACGTCGTGACGTTAAAAACGACATTGCCAGCCGGGTGAGGAGGCAGGGTGCGGCCTCCACCTTCCGCAACCTTCGGCAGGTGATCGAGGGCAAGAAGTCCACTCAGCGAGTCGTGCCTGAGGCCACCCCCAACGAGCTGAACGAGTACTTTGTGGGGGTCGGCCCTCGGGTCGCGGCTGAGGTCCGGGACAGGGGGGAGCCCCTTCCTCCTCCTTGCAGACTACCTAGAGTAGGCGCCTGTGCACTCACCTTACAACCTATTTCCCTTCACTCTCTCCGATGTGTCCTTTTTTCCATGAAAAATTCCTCTTCCGGCTCCGACGGTGTCAGCATCCGGATCCTACGCCTCTGCTTTGACTCCATCGGTCACGTCTTTCTCCACTTTGTCAACACCTGTCTCACAACCTGTGAATTTCCCGCGTCCTGGAAGCACTCTATCGTCCACCCCATCCACAAAGCGGGCAATCCTACTGATCCATCCAACTATCGACCTATCTCAATTGTTCCTGCCTTTGCCAAACTTGTAGAAAAAGTTGCTCAGCAGCAGCTGTACACCTACATGTCTGGCAACCATCTGTTTTCCTCATATAAGCACGGTTTCCGCTCCTGTCTCTCCACAGAAACCGCGCTCGCCACCGTATCCGATCACATCCTCTCTGCCACCGACCGTCAGGAACTCACTCTCCTATGTCTCCTCGATCTCTCCAAATGCTTTGACGTCATCTCATCGACCACTCAAAGCTACTATCCAAACTTCAAACCTATTCTATCGATCCGACCTGGTTTTCTTCTTACCTCCGTGGCCATTCCCAATCAGTTTGCACAACTGACGGGCGAGGAAACCGAGTCCTCTCCGATCCTCTACCCAATCCTATCGGCGTGTTCCAAGGATCCTCGCTGGGCCCGCTCCTGTTCCAAATATTTGCCAATGACCTCCCTCTTTTCGCTCCCGGGGCGCACGTGGTGCAGTACGCTGATGATACCCAAATTCTACTTTCTGGCAAAAAAGATTCCCTCCCTCACCTCATCGCCACTTAAGAACAAATTTTGGACTCTTTTGATGCCTGGTTTCATACCAACTGCTTAAAAGTTAACACAGCTAAAACTGAGCTCATCGTTTTTGGCTCGCGCCAAAATTGCCGCAGCCTGGATCCCATCTCAATTCGGTTCCGTGAGGACACGATCCGTGAGGGCCCCACGGTGAGGAACCTTGGCGTGGTTTTCGACAAGCACCTCACCTGGGACGCTCACGTATCGGCCCTCGTCCAAAAATGCAACGGTATCCTCATTGGGCTGTCCAGTGTCCCACGTGCGTCACCACATCCCTTGTGAACTTCTGCCAACCGTGGTCAGCGCCTTGGTCCTCTCGCACGTCCGATATTGTCTCTCCGTCTATGGAAACGGGTCGGACAAAAACACACAGCGCCTCCAAAAAGTTCTCAAGTTTGCGCTGCGCGTTGTGTCCGGCCGAAGAAAATTTGACCACATATCGGACGTGCGAGAGGAACTGGGCTGGCCTACCGCCCGTCAGTTGTACGAAATCCACTCTCTTAACTTCCTCCACAAAATACGCTGCACCGAAGAGCCGGATACTATGTCCTCCCAAATCCTGGCCAACTCTTCCCTTCGCTCACGCTCAACCCGGCGTGACACTGATCTGTCTCTCCCACGCGTGAGAACCGAAGCAGGGAGGCGGCGCCTGCTCTACAGCATAGCCCAGTTGTACAACCGTCTGCCCCATGACATTAGACATCTCCCTCTGGGAGCTTTTAAACGCTCTGTTTCCGAGTTGTATCTGCGTGTTTAAGGATGAATGTGTGATTTGAATTGTGTTCTGTTTGATGTGATTGATGAGTGTATTAACCAGCGCCCGGCTGGGAGTCCTGGATTTCCACGCCCTGCTGGGGGGGGGGGTGTTTGAACACCCCCCTTCTAACTCGGCTCCTGGGCCACGTAGCGATACGCGGAAGGCGGCGTTCGAAAGAGCGCTAAAAATAATGACGAAATCACTTCGGTCACTTTTTTGGTCAGGTCAAAGGTCAGGTTACCAGAGGTCATTGAAGGCAAAATTTCGCCGATTTTCAGGTCGAATGTCGACAATTTCCAAGAAGCCAACGCATAACTCGGGAACCAATAGAGCTACAGCGCCACGGAAAAGCGCATTCGATAGCCCTATTAACGCCCTTTCTGATTAATACTTTCAGATTTGACCTATCGCCAACGGTTTTGCCTGCAGGGGGCAAAACCTGCAAAAATAACCGATTTTTTCGAAAACAGTTTTTATGCAATAACTTTTGACCCAAGCCTTGCACGAGCTTACTTTTACCGGCATCGTGTTCCTCTCCTCAAGACGCATCGAATGAACTGTAACTTGACCTTAAAAGGTCAACTTGAAAATTTGACCTCAGGTCAAGGTCATGACCTGACCGGAAAGGGTCATGTTGCATATCAGTCGATCCGTATCGTCGAGCTGAACACATCCAAGGCGTTTTAATCGCTCTAGCATGCCTCTATCAAAAGTTATTCGCGAAAAACTGTTAGATACCATCCGTGACCTGAGATGACCTCAGGGGCATAAACAGGGGTCACAGATACCATTTTCATGTTCAGTATGTCTTAGTTACTTGTTATTCAGTGTTTGGGAGTGTTTATAATGGCTTTTATCCAAAAAAGCGCCTTTCAATTTTCTCCCATTGACTTATAATGGGGAGGTCGCAAAATTGACCTGACCTTAGGTCATCGATATCAAAATTCTGAGATATACATTTTGTACATGCTATTGCTCTTAGCAATCGCTGAAAGTTTCAAAGCGATCGGTCACTCGGTGTAGCTATGACAGACATTGAAACTTTTTATGAGGTGAGGTCACTTCAAGTGACCTGGTGACCTGACCTTGAATGACCTTGGTCTGAAATTTTCAGAACATGTGTAGAATTGATGTGTGATAAGATGTACAAAAAACGGCGGCGCTCCGCGCCGCCGTTTTTTTTAGATATTTGCGAAAAACCACAGGGGGGGGGGGTGTTCAAACACCCCCCCCCCCCAGCAGGGCGCGGGTTAACTTGTTTTTCCTTTTAACCGTGACGCGACACTCGGAATAACCATTTTACTGTGGAGAGTGTTTTAACTGTCATATACAAATACAAATACAAATACATTCCTTTTACACATTTTGACTAAAACTTGTGTGAGAGTCTATGATAGGTTGGCCACAAATAACGTCAGAGTAACGTCATGTTCAGCCATTTTCGACCTCAACAAAGGTTTTGCAGGAAGAGGTATTACGCCTACAGTAGGGTAGGGTAGGGTAATTTGAGCATATTTTTACGTATTCTTCGTCGCACCAAATTCCAGCTCAATCTGGGACGATGAAAAACTGTTTCAGTAGCGCAAATGCCACTTGCTTTCACCATGCAAGCCTCATTTTTGGGCGAGCCGAGCATACCTTGAATAGCATAGCCTCACTTCTCCACCAAGTCACGGTGTGTTCAAATTGCCCCAACGTGGGGTACTTTGAACATACTGCCTTTACGAGCCATAAAAACAATAATCTCGCCAGCACCGATGCTTTTTGATCCATAAACAAATAGGCAGAACATTTATAAACATACCTTCATTTGAAAAACCAACACAACAACAAAAATACCAGTTGCAGAGTATCAACATCTGCACGCTGCACACTGGTCAGTTAATAGAAGTCGCCTCTCTTCAATTAACAGAACGTCTATCATTTACATTCGATAACCCCCCCCCCAACCTTACTTCATCTGTTATAGTGGTGCCAATCGACACCTTTTACGGCCAAATATAGAAATAGTGCACACAGTTCAGAAATAGTGCAACCATTTCGACAGTTCGGCATAGTGCACCGCTACTTCGGCCGAGTGCATGAAATTCAGTAATAGTGCACTCGTCTCCGAAACAGTGCAAGCAATTTAAAAGGTAATGCATTCATTTCAGTAGTTGCGATTTCAGTTTCGCCAGAGTCATTGCTTTGTCATATGCATTTGTATTAGGCGTACCACAAAGCAATTTAGTTAACCCGCGCCCCACTGGGGTCTGTGTATAACACGCCCTACTGGGAGGGGGGGGGGGCTATTCATAGCCCCCCTCCTAACTCCGAAACTACTGGGCCGATCGTCAAAATTCAAACGGCGTCTAATAGCCCCGGAAAAACTGTCGAGCGAAACCTAATTTCATTGACCTCAAGGTCACCGATGACGTCACAGGTCAGGTCAAAGTAAAAATTATTAGCACTTTGGCTTGTTCACATTTTGGGCTCTGGCCGCCGTCTTACAAATCAGATCAGGCTCATTTTTGGTTTCCACACTCGTGAACAGATGCTCTAGATACCTTGAGGGTACCAAACTTGTACTTTGATTTTCAGGTCAGGGTCAGGTCATCACAGGTCACGAAAATATTATATCATGCGTCGGTCACGTGACAATGTTTTATGGTCCATCAAGGCCATAGATTTCGAATTTGATGTCGTCTGTGTCATTCAAGGTCATTTTGAGTCGAAATTAGCTTAGGTCAGGTCACTTTCAGGTCAAAAAAGGTCAAATTTTGAAGTTGAAATTTTTCAACGAAAAAGGTGTCTATTGGATGCAGTTTGAGCTCAGGAACACGATGGTGCCATTTATATTGGTGTACGATGCCAAATACGTACTGAAAAATTGATTTGAAAAATTAATAATTGTGAATTTTTTGTAATAATGCGTATAACTTGGCCATTTTTGAAGATATTTAGCTAAAACTTGCTAGAGTTAGTCATAATCATGCGTTCTGTC